CGCACCTATCAACAACCCGGAGTTGTCATCCCGCTTAGTCTGAGTATGGAAGCCAGGTTTGCCCGTGTGCCACAATCCTTCATGGCCACACGTCAACCCCGCCCACCCAGCACTAGCCTGTCAGATCGCCCAACTCTCTACTCACCTTTCCGTCTCCGCTCGATAGTCGATCCTCTTGACCGTGCTAACTCCCAAGTGTAGATTAGAGAGCGAATTAGTCGCGCTTGCCAACTTTATAGCATTCGGCAGTTGCGTGATATACTAAGTCTTTCGGATTATGCTGAAGCAAGAGGTAGAGAAGAAGAGGGAGTGGCTACAGGTGCATGACGGGGTTGCGGCGTGGGGGACATAGCCGCTCTCCTCACGTCGATCCAGTCATGCACCCGTGGGCCAATGAGGCAGTCGGGAAAGAGACGCCAAGTTTCTCGTGAGAAGGAAGAGATAAAGAAGGGAGAGGATTACAATTACACATGCGCTTGGCAAGAAGGAGCAAGGAAAGATTACAGTTGCGATTAAAATTTATGTGCGGCGGGAGCAGGGCGCAAAACAACACACAACAATGCGCACACAAGTAGGGAGCCTCGTGTAGTTACAACCAAAAATTATGACGCTCCCAAATTCTTCAACCACTAGTACCTTTCCCGCATGGGAAAATAGGGAAAACTGACAGTTTTCCCAAACTCCTTAATATTCGGAGGTCGGGCCCGACGACAACTGCCATTGATAAATCTGATCGGCGGCCGTCATTTCGTTTCGGTCTCTGAAAAGGTCGGACGCCTACCCGAGGCCCGCTATTTTCCCAAGCGGCAAAGGTACTAGTGGTTTAACCTAATTAAAATCCTAAGTGCAAGAAGAAATTCTGAGAGCCGGTGTGGGTTCAAAGTTCAAAAAAAAAATAAAAAAGATTCCCCGCACGGTGATTGTGCCCAAATTTCCTCTCCCCGGAACAGAATAAGAAATAAGCTATGGCAGCAGTTATTTCCACACTCGCTGAGGTGCGATCAATTACCAACCGTCGCGGGACCAGCCTCCTTCAAAAAGGCGGGCCCCTCCCGATCAACCCCCGAACTATAGTTGTGTGTGTGTGTGTGTGTGTGTGTGTGTGTGTGTGTGTGTGTGTGTGTGTGTG